TTAAGTGTCAAAACAACAAACATTAAATAATTTAAATATAAACCAAACGTGTCCAAATGCTTCTGCCTTACTCCTCTTCATTCCACAACTGCCGTCAGTTGTTGACAGGTTTTTGTCATCTTGGGTGACATGATTCGTCTAGATTTGAACTGCATCCTATCAAATTCATTTACTCAAATTGTGGATAAACCCACTAGGAATGGCGTTAAATTGGATAACATCATCACGAATGTAAGTGCGTACTTTAAAGAGCCGCAGATTTTAACGCCAATAGGTCTAAGTGACCATAATTTGCGTCTCTCTTCAGCCGAATGGTAATGTTCACGCTTGTAACAATCTGTATAAATTTGTATTCGTCCGATGCCTGATAGCAAAATACGTAAATATGGCCAGTGGAATATTGACCACAACTGGAGTGATGTTTATATTGCTTCTGGTACTCAAGGAAAAAATGTGCAATATTCTATAAGACACTTTATGATTCTATTGAACTTATTTTCCTAGACGTGTTGAAAAACGGCATCCCATAGATAAACCGTGTGTCTCCTCCCATGCAATATTGCTAATTAAAAAGAGGCAACAGGCGTTTGCAGAAAATAAGCAAATTTGTTGAGATATTTTCGTAATAAAATAAATGTTTTTTACGGGCTGATAGAAAGGACTATTATACCAAAAATGTGTGCACCTTGAAAAGTTATCGACAGCTGAATGGCATAAACACATTCGTAATCTTTCAGGACAACTCAATCAAAAAGACACTGAAATCGTAGCTATTGCTAATTGTGTTCCTTTTTACTTTACCAAGGTTAGTGCATCACTTAAGGCAATGGACAGAACTGTGTTGCCTGATTTTCTCCCGTGTACCCCTCATCGTTCAATTGAGCCATGAGTGGTCCTTACGCAAATTAATAAGGTAAAACTACGCACTTCGTATGGACCTGATCAGATTTCTACTAGATTTATCAAATTATTCTCGTACTGACTTTCAAGACCACTTTGTCATGATTTTAATTACATATATCAAGAATCTATTGTCCCGCACTAGTGGAAGCGTGCTCATGTGGTTCCAATTCTGAAAGCGATTAGTGTTCCCTTTACATTGAGCAATATGAGACCTATTGCTATTACAGATCATTTCGCTAAGATTGCGGAACATTTTTTTCGTTGTTGACACCATTGAAAGTTAAACTTGACAAGATGCAGTTTGGAAACCTTAAAGTAATTTCAACCAATCATTGCCTTATTAATATTTTAAAAAAACTTCATTGCCACGCGGAAACACCTCATGTAGTTTCATCTATTCTCGTTGATCACTCGATTGCAATACTTCGAGTTTTGAAAAAGTCTGTTCCTTCAGCTTATGTTTCTTGGATTGCTGAGTTATGTGGTCGCGTTCTTCAAGTTAAATACCAAGGAGTGTTATCTAACCAAGCAGTTATCACGGCTAGTGTGCCTCAGGGCGCTAAACTAGGGCCCATTTTCTTGTTGGCAATGATAAATGAGGCTTCTAATAACGAATCCATTTATCATTGTAAATATGTTGATGATTCACAAAAATTCTGGCCTTCCTAACTGTGCAGCAAGTCTTCTTTCATGGTCTGAACAAAGTAACATGAGACTTAATCCTTTGAAATGTTTTATTATAGACGTTTGTTTTTCTAAAAAATCCGCCCATTTCCCTTTGTATTACGCTTAATGATTAGGCTATTGCCACATGTGATTATGTTAAATTTGCTTGGATTGTTTATACAATCTAACTTTAAATGGGACAAATTTGCCACTATATGGTTAAGGGAGGTAACTACAGGCTCTATACCCTACGTACACTTAAACAGCGTGGTTATTGGGGCAGTAATTTACTGGGTCGTGTTTATCACTAGATTTAAAGATTGGGGTTACTTTTGCAAGCTAAAAGCTGTCAGGAAATATGCCTTTAGACAGACTTCAGAGATCAACAATATGACATCACGATGGATGGTGTTATTAAATTTCCAGTATCCTAGCCTTGATTCTTTTCCATATTTTATAAGTCTAATTGCAATGTTACGAGCTTGTTTTATTTGTGTTGTGTTATCTCCATTCCATGTGTATCTATGGACATCCGGATTAATTCGATAAACCGATAATGTTAACCCTACCATACAAACAAAAACATGAAACATTAATAGCTGCAAAGCGTACGGCATGGATCAAGTACCGACGCACAGTGGGCCAGAATCAATTCAAAGTGTGCCAAAAGTCGAAAATAGGTAATGTGACAACTTCAACTTTTAAAGGTTGTTTGAGGTCGAGAACATCCTAAATTATATTAATCCACCAATAATTTCATATTTAGTGAATTTTCATAATGTGATTTAACCATGTAAACATGAAAAAGTTGTATTTTACTCGTAAAATTATAAAATTGACAGTTTTGAAAAACTCCCTATGACTTTACTTAGATGAAAGCATTCAACTTGATACTTCTTGCAGTATTTACCTATTGTTAACTAAATTAGATAGTAAAATAAATAATGACATTATTGGTATATTTTTTAGAATAAAGGACACTAAATATGAGCCAAAAACGCTTAAAAACATTTTTTTTCATAAAACCAACTTAAAAGTTAGAATTGCCGGCGATTTTCGTCATGCTTTTGACATCAACATTTCTGGCAGAGCCTAAGCTTTACGTTAATGCCAAGTTTAGCTGCCAATATCTGCCACCCTGCATTTAGCAAGCGATTTAATACTCCCCCACCCCCCTACAAAAGCGCCGTTTTTTAATTAAGGTATACGATAAAATCATTCCTGCAGCCATTGAGTGCCAAATGTAAAAACAAGTACACTCGATTTCCAGTGTCATATCTAGGAGTAAATTGGGGAGGGAAATCATTGGTGGATCTGGAGGGGTCAAGGTCCTGAACACACCCCCTTGGACAAAAACATTAAATAAATAAATATTTAAAAAATAATTCCAGATTTACTTTTCCAGGACCCGTAAACTGATTATTGAATTTTGTGTTACAATTGGACAATTAAATGTCGGAAATGTTCAATCAAAATTTTGATGGGGAAGGACCCCGTTTAAAAAAAAAAAAAAAAAAAAAAAAAAAAAAAAAAAAATGCGTAAGCAATTAATCATATTTATACCTCTACACACACAATAGGCCTCTTTACTGTATTAAGAATCAGAAAAATTACCTGACCGTTTTCAATTTTCAATAGGGTAAACATTGATTTTGTTTTTATTGAAGGTCATTAAGTCTGAAAAGCTCACTTCCCGCAATTATAGAAATCAAAATTTTTCAGGGGCTAACATGATTTCGCCTCTCCCCCGGTTCCTCTTTATTGTTCAGGGATTCATTAAAAAAACGTCAAGAGAGGGAAACCAAAATTTCAGAAGTTTAGAAAACCCGTTTCCCGAAATATAGGAATCAACATTTTCCCACCACCGTCCTATTTGGGGTTCATCGGTTCATGGAAAACAAAATAGGCCTACGTATGCAACTACTCATTTTTTTTTATACACACATAGGCCTGTTTACTGTAATAAGAATGACAAAGTTGACATGACTGTTTTCAAGGGAGGGAAAATCTTGAACTTTAAAAAACTTAAAAAACACCTCAAAAGTCGGGAATTTAGGAAACAACATTTTTCCGGGGAGGACCTCGACCCCCTTTCATTTTGAGGTCAATTATTTTAGGAATCATTTTTTCCGACACTTTCTCTTTTGTTCTTATTTATTTTTTTTTTTTTAAACATTTTGACTCCATCCTAAATCTGAAGCCAAATTGCCAAATGCCCGATGAAGTGGGACTGCTCATTTAATTTCTTTTTTCATTTATTTATTTAGCATCCATTCAAATACAACAATTATTGCTCACTCAAATTATAGCGATATTATGTAAATTCACTCTGTTTGACCGTGATCTTTTGTGCTTATTTTCACTGGTGAGGGGTGGACGCGGACTAAGGGGGTACTGCAGATGTCTTCTTAACATTCCACCTTCCACCCTTTTCTTTGAAGAAATGTATTTTAATAATGTCACATAAAGTGTAAAATGTTCTAATTTGAATTTGCCGGTCTAGAAACCCTCATTCGTGTCATACTGAGCTCTGGCAAGTTATTCTGTCTAGATCTTAAATTTTACGTCGTCCAATAAAAAAAATACTTTAATGACGTCATACATATTTAAATATGCTTGCGTTGAAATCTACAGGTTAGAAAACTCCTTATATGTTCTAATAACCAAGGTAATATGAATCTGCCTAGGTATTACAATGAATATTTTACTCATCCAATCAAAAAACAGTAATTTGATGACGTCATACATATTTTAAAAATAGTTTAATTGAATTCAGCAGGTTTGAAACCCCTTAAACAGTCTTAAAATGAACATAATCAGTATTTTCTTATGAGTATTGACTTTTGGCACACTTTGAAACAATTCTGGCCCACTGTGCGACGTTGTTAGTTGTTTGTTCTGAAAAACAACTAATTAGAAATAGATGTGGGATAATGATCGCTGTGGAAATAAAAGACATGTCCAAATCATTATGGAAATATGTGATGTCACAGTCATTGTTTCCACATTAGAAGCAAGGATGATGATATATCTGAAGTTTAGAGTATGAGAGATAATATTACTAGTTGTTTAGAGCAGATTGAGGATGTTCATAGGAAGTTTGATTTTTTTTTAGGTCAAATTTATTTATTAACTTCTGCTGTACAAAAATACATGAAATACGTTCTCAATGCAATTACTCAACTCATGCAGTATAATAGTTTTAATATTTGATATTTTGTATTTAGCCATAATTTAATAATGACATTTTTTTATTTTTAGCAACTGGAAACAAATTTCTTTTTTTAATTGTTTGATCATTGACAATAAAGAATTCTTGATTTTTATTTTTGATAATCAAACATGCTTTTCCTAATATGGATAATAAGCTTGATATGCTTCTGCCCTTACATAAATCTTTTTTTTTTTTTTTTTTTTTTTTTTTTTTGCAGATATCATACCAAAATGGCAACGGACAAACGAATTTCGAGAAGAACTTAACTGATATTCACATTTTTAATGATAAATGTTTTTTGGTTTCAATTTCGTTTCTTCCTGATAATTCTACAGATCATATACAACTTCCAAGTGTCCCATGCGGTAAAAATAATAGAGTAACTTGCCTTAATACTTTAAACAGAGTTTTTTACTATGATTGTAACCTCCGAATTAATTGCGTTGAGAAGTACGCCTACTGGAAACAAAACAGCAACCAGAAAAGAAATCTCAAATGTGGGGTTACCTCCATAAATAGTTTACTTGATTCACTTTATGAACCATGTCTTAGTAAGTATAACAGTTTTTTTATATCTTTTAATTACTCTTGTTTGTTTCTGTACGGATATTCTGTGTATCCCATGTCAACTGGATAGCTCAGGATAAGTATTAATATTACTAGAAATTGCAAATTGCAAGTGAAGTGCTGCGAAGTACAACTGCATATAAATGTTCTTCGAACAAAATTATTTATGCGAGTCAAGTGAAAATAAAGAATAATAAAAATATAACAAATAATAGAAGACATGACCCATTGTCTATATTAGAACACGACGAGCTGACGTAGAAACATAGTAAAAACGAGCGTTGGTACCGTGTATGCCAGTCTACAACAATCGTCGCCTAAATGTAATAATTAGGACGCTGAAATAGGCTAGTAAATAAGTTTAACTGGGTTCGTAAATACCATTGGCCTAAAAATATTCTGGCTGAGACATGGGCCGATAAAACGTAGAAATAGGAAACCTAGAAATATAGTAAAAACGCTGTAGAGTAATACTCGAGCGTCGCGACATGCGGACGTTTGTACGTGTAGGATAGTCTACAAACGTCGCCTAAAGCAATTGATTTTACCCGGCAAAACGAAGGAAGAGAGAAATACTGCATGTGTCTAGTTTATTTTTATATTTTATTTTTAAGTACATTCTTATTCTAAAATAGAAAGAAATAGCTTGTGCTTTTACAATTACAAATCAAAATATTTATGATAATTGTTATTTATATAGTATAACCACAAGCCTGTATTATGTGTGTATAATTAACTTTATGGAATGTATTTGATATTTCTCTCTTTAAGCGGACAATTTATTACAAGCATATATATTTTCTCATGAGAAAAAACCGTTAATGAATAACTTTGGATAAAGCCCTTCTCGTTAGCGGTAAAATACAAAGGATATTGCACTTAGTAACATTAACGATCTGAGCAAACTAATCCTCCTAATTGTTTATACCGTGACTAGGGCTACTGTTCAGATTATAGGATCTTCAAGCCGAATTTGCGTGGCCATCAATTGGTCAGTTGGACATTTTCCCCACCCATGTTTTTTCTATCGGTATACCAATATGATTATTATTATACATTTGACTTAATATCTTAAAAACAACAAATTGTGAGAGGTATATAGGCCTATAATATGTATGGGCATAGGCCCATTTCTTATAGCAGTAGCAGCATTAACATATTAACATATTCAACATGTTAATAATAATAATAGCTTATCATCGCTATTTTCATCATTGTCACTATATTTATGTTCATTATTATTTCCACACTCCAAAGCAAGTCAATTAAATCAAATACAAAAAAAAATCTGTTCAATTTATAAAACACTACAAGAATTGTAATTAATTTCTGCCTTCACAAAAAATGTTAAAAAAAAACATACACACCTACACACTCATTACTAAAAACACTACATACATACGAATTAAAACAGTTACTAATAATATCTTTATCACTACATAACGTATCATCAATTTTAAGAACAATATTTGAGTCATTTGAATTATCTTTACAACCTAAATTCGATTCTATTTCCCAAAGTTTTTTACAGTCATTTCTGTTGTTTCTTATTTGTCCAATAATGTATTCTTCCTTTGCAGACTTCACAAGACGTTGAACTTTATTCCGTAATGCGCAAAATGTTTTGCGAACTTCTCGGTTGTCACTTGATTTTAGCTTCGAAAACCATTTATCCCTCTCTTTGATCAAATCAAGGATATCAGTAGTCATCCAAGGATCTGAAGATTGTCTAATCCTAACGACTTTAATTGGTGCAACTTTATCCAATGCTGCATTAAATATTACACAAAACTGATCCCATGCATCATTAACCGATTCGGAGTGGTAGACACTGTTCCAGTTCGATTCTTCAAGCAATTTAGCAAAACTTTCCTTGTCATACGATCTGGTTGATCTAAGTTGAACAGTTTTATGCTTGTTATATTTCTTGGTTTTTATTCTACGAATACCATAAACCGCAAAGTGGTCGCTAAATCCAGTTGGTAGACAGCCGTAGTCAGAAATTCTATCAGTGCTGTTACAGAAAATATGGTCTATTGTTGACTTACAGTTAATACCAATTCTGGTGGGACTAGTCGAGAGTAACCTAAAACCATGGGACTTTAACATGTTGTTATATTTAATAAAGTTTGAGTCTTTCTTTATGGCACACATGTTAGTATCTCCCATTACATAACATTCAGAGTTTTGTGTTATTTGTTCAAGAGCCTGATCTAACAGGCTTATAAAAACACAATGAGACTGTTTCTGAGACCTATAACACAATCCAAAGATGATAGGTTTCGTTCTTGGCAAGGAGTGTTTAATCCAAACTGCTTCCAGATCTGGCACATCTAGATCAGTCCGATGTATGTATGGGACTCTCTTACATAAAGACAGACGCCACCAACGGATCTATTTCTGTCCTTTCTTAGGATCTTAAAACCTGGGATATTTACGTCTTGGTCCGAAATTGAGGAATACAACCACGACTCAGATATAGCGATAAGAGCTACTTTTGTCTGCATAGCAACACACTTCAACTCAGGAACTTTCGGTAACAATGATCTTGTATTGCTATGAAAAAATGGAATTCCTTTTTGTTTCAATTGTTCATATGAAATCATGCATCCATTTTGATTCTCGACTTGATGGTTAAAAGATTCGTCATCCTGAGGAGCATCATTTATCTCAGTGAAATAACAATCATCCAGGTTTGGTAGTGCACAAGCAACACAGGTCCAATCACCACTGTCCCTAATATACCTCTTAAAATAACTTGAATTAATTCTCAAACAGCTAGCATGGTAAAATCTAAAACATTCAGCACATCTAACTCAAAGACGATTTTTATATATAATCTTTGTACATAAATCACATACGGATTTGACTGAAAAATTATCCCTATGATCCTTAATTTCTTTCTCTTTAGGCTTTTTCATTAAAGGACCTGGGTTAAGTTCAATATCCCCATGTTGAGAAAGATCAACGTTGAATGTTGCAGTACTGTTTACCGTACCGTAAACTATCGTCACTGTTAACTAACCCAGTTTTGAAAAACAAAAATAAGACTTCAAATGTCTAAAAAGGAAAGACATTCTCAAAAGTTGGCGGCTCAGTCCTTAATCTAATTAGCAAAAAAAAAAAAAAAAAAAAAAAGGCAAAAAAAAAAAAATTTGGTATTTTTAAAAAAATTTAATTGTGCATTTATTTTTAAAAGTTTCAAAAAAATAAATTTTGATAAATATTTAAAAT